GTCTCTCTCTCTCTCTCTCTCTCTCTCTCTCTCTCTCTCTCTCTCCCCCCTCTCTCTCGCTGATTCTCTTTCAAATAAAATGTGACTTGACCATTCACTGATAAGTAAAACAGGGGAAATAACTAGAAAAAGATACTTTTTCAACAAGTAATTACAAGTTGCTCCCCTTGAAAAGTTTCAGTGACCTTAGGTGCTGTCCTTGAGAATAATTATATTATGTTAAAATATTATTTTGTTTTGCATTTTTCTCATGGGTTCCAATTTGTCTATACAAATCAATAAATGCGTGTAGATAATATTATGACATTCAGTGCAGAGTTAATGATGATATCACATCCTATTATAAACATATTATAAGGGTATCATGGATTTTAAAAAAAAGTCGAATACTATCAATATTGCGTTTCGTAAGGTATGCTTTTTAACCAGCACGACATTCTGTTCGAAATTAAGTAATCGGTACGATTTATAAGTTTTGAATGAAGACAAGCGGGCTAACCCAGATTTCGGGGGTTTTCATAAATCTTGACCTACACCAAAAGTGGGCATTGCCCTACCTATTGAAGAAGTTTGATTTTATTGGTGAGTATTTTTGTTTAATTATAGAGAAAACTCTGCTTGTCTTATATAAAGAAACGGAGCAAGGGGCAAAAACTTACCTTCAATTGTTTCAGAACAGAATTTTTTGGGATAGCCCCCTTGTACTTAAAAGCGACCAAATAAGAAACCTTTGTGCTTTTTGGGTTATTATTAGCTGCAAGATCGTTTGCCCACCTAGCTCCATCAGTTTGGAATTCTCTTCCCCAACCCTTGAGACATACAACTTCTGAGACTAACTTTAAAACATTTTTAAAGACACATATTATAATGAAATCATTATAATGTCAACAGATTCACCACAATGCAGTGTAAATGACCATGTATTCATTTCTGTATTTATGTTATCTTATAATTTGTATGTGCTCATTTCAAAACGATGTGTAAGTGAGCGCTTGTGATAAGCTAGTAGGTGTTCGTGTGTGTGCATATGTATGTGAATGTGTATGTGTATGTGTGTGTGTTTGTTTGTGTGCATGTTTATTTGCATATGTATGTGTGTGTGTGTATTCAATTAATGTGCGTGCGTGAATTTTGTTCACATGCATTTGTGTAAAGCGCTTAGAGCTGTGTTCACACGAGAGTGGGGGCTATAGAAATTATCTACAATATTACTACTACTATTATTATCTCCTATTGGCACACTTATAGCAAAGGACTACAACCTTGTGCAGAACTTTAGATGTTGTAAGAAAAATGTAATTTTCCTAAAATAAAACAACGTGGAACGAGAAAGGCACTATGCGAAATTTCACTCAAGATGGAATGGATTCTTTGACAATAGAAACACGTTTAAAAAAAATTACACTCGCTATACAATTCAGTTAAAAGACACATAGTTTCCCCAACATCCCCAATGCCCGCCCCACCCCTTCCCCTTCCCCAGATATGAATAAAACTTTACAAACAACTACCTCCACCCCACCCCCCTCCTGAACATTTCCTTACATTTCTTATAATTTGTTATTAATTACAATAATCATCCGGTGCCTTGCCGGCTGGCGTGGGCGATCATGCACCTCCACTTCACTCCGTCCTGCGTTGAAGCGATGGTGTCTGTCGTTCTTGCTGTTCCCAGCTATGTTATTAACTTGTCCAGTATCTTTTCCCTCTGTCTGCCTCTGCCTCTCTTTCCACCAAACTTGCCTGTTTTATTAATTAATAAAGATCACTTTATAGAATTTTGATGTGTTTCTGTCAGCTAGAACTGGTCTAATTCATTTCCATAGTAGACGCAAACTAGTTGTCTTAATCTGTCTTTCTTTTATTCAATTAATATTTTCTTCTGTAGATGCATTGGTCATCCTAAGGGGAGGGGCTGGTTTATAAACCTATATCGGTAGCTATGGCCTTTTTAGGTAAAGCCTTATAGCATGGAGATATAACAGGAAAACATATTATGAAAAATGTAACTTTAATTTGTTTTTAAGTCGACGGTTGCCATGGTAACGGCCACCATACTGAAATTAAACAGCTTTCATAAAAGTAAAAATGATTTTTTATTTACCAATCAAATTTTAACACATTCGGTACATTGATAGATATACTCAATACAAAAAGTTATACCTTTGGGATATTGGATGTCTTAAATAGGAAAAAAGTTCGAGATGGGTAACTGACCTACAGCTTCATGCTTCTGAATTCGCTTACATAATCATCCATGTAACTCATTTATAAATGCATCGATTTTATTTTTCAACTGGACAAAGTTAGGTCATGGTATGAATAACAAGCCCTGAAAATTTCTTTTGGAAGCAAAAGAAAATTAAAAAGTAGATGAGAAAAAACATAAAAAATGAACGTTTTGAAAAAAAACCCCGACATTTTGTTACATAATAGGCAAAATGAAAGTTTTAAGACAGAACATTTGAAAGATGATGATTGGAACACAAAGAGTAATCACTTTTTAGATTTACAAGTGATTGGAGTTTTATAATACGTAAAAAGTCCAGGTACCATACATTGACCGACATACGTCAATTTAACCGCCCTCTTAAGACGAACTAACTAACACAACGTTTCATTTGACATTGCTGAGTCAGAACTTCTGTGACCCTC